GCCATAGTACAGTACAATAGTACCATCACAATAATAATAATAGTACAAATTATACGCGAACGTATAAGCACGTATACTTGAGATTCTTGATATCGTATTTCCGAATAACAAAAACAAAAAATCACTAGAATATTTTATGTTTGTTTATTCGAACAAAATATAGTTAGAAACGTACACTATAACTGGAAGAACACCGACCACTTAACCTGGCCCACAATCACAATTTCCATCACCATCACATCAACACACAACTCAACGCGCAGCTTGAACGACCAGTTCGCTTGTCACCGGTAATGAAATCAAACGCGTTTCTCTCGTTTAAAATTACGAAAGTTTTAACGTCCTTCCACTTTACCTCGCCCACACACCGGGTCCACAACTTTGAATATAGTCCCTCGTTCTCAGGACAAGCTGTAGTCCCTACAAAATCATTTACCGCATCCCCCACCCACAATATGGTTGGGTTAGGTTGTGGGTAATGACCTCAAAATCTGTAAAAAAATTAGTTACACGCCCGAGAAAACAAAAGTATTGTACGAAAATAGCGAAAATAATCGGGTCCCTAAAAATATTTTGGACATAATGGGGGGGGGGGATTCAGCTGAGACTTCATACCCACTTATGGCGACTGACACCGCTGGGCAAACCGTTCATTCGCTCCCCGTTCAAACTATAAACCACCAGAGTTTTGCCAAACAAATACGCCCGCGTAAAATTACAATTTCCGCCGTGGAACTTGAGTTTAACAACGGCTTTGTGACGGTATTACTTGACAGGACTTACATCGCAATAATGTAGTCGACGCTGGTTTTGAGGGAAGAGACTCGTGAGCCGTTTATTAATAAGCAACATCAGGTTTTTTAAAAACAAACAAACCGAAAAGACGAGCACAGTTAATAATAATCTTTGCATAATATCGCTGCACTTTCGCTGGTGTCAGAGACGCGGTGTCCGGCTTGATCTCAGGGCGTCAAAAAGTTAGCATCGTTGATGGCGACGGTGTGCGGGTACGGATCGGTTCGTCGAGTCCGGTCGTGCGAGACGTCCGGAGCCGGTGGCGTACGTCCTCGACGTTGTCACTTTGTCAACAGGAAGAACACTCAACGTATCATTTGCGGCGGCTCGTCGTCGGCCGTGCGGTATTTGATTGACTTTGCATTGTGGCGTATGGCGCGCGGGATTGATCAGTCAAATACTCATAGTAGGACGACGACTGATAAAGGTTGCACGAGACGTGTGGCATCGTGTATCAAGAAGCGACGCGGGGCCATGTCATACTTTAATTCAAGTGACCAATGGTAAATAGCAAAATATTTGTACTAATCTTTAAGATTATATGAATAACTGAGAAATGTAGTAATACAAAAATAAGCAAAAAGGTGCTTGGGGATATTATATTTGACCAATGTTGGATGTTTGGGGATTTGATCAATTCAGGAGCAACGAGGTTCTATCGGGGTTGTAGAGTCCGAGGGTTTAGAACAGTAAAGACAAGTAGATATAAAAATATATGTATTAAGTTCCTCTCATAGAGGTATTAAAACGCTGAGGTATTCTTGTAGTGGCCGGGGTCTTGGCCTCCTATCTGACACCCAGTCGAAGCGTGATGTTAACTGGTATGTGCTTTAGTGGAAATACTGAGGCGTTCATGGAGTGGCGGAGGCCTTCTTCAGACACCCAGTCGAAGTATATAACCAAGCACTAACTAGTTATTAATAATTAAATGTTTAAAAAAATCTATTGCTTTACCATTCTTTACTCAGATTATTAATTCTAAATAATTGGGTTAATATAAATTTACTTACTTCTTTTATATACCTCACGTTCAGATTTAGTATCGCTTTTAAATGTGCCGAGGACAACACGGGGTCGTGGCTAGTTTGATCAATTAATGAGTTAGAAGAATTCTGAATTCCTTATTGAATTTAGATCTTCAAAAATATATATGAGACGCTCTTAGAAAATCAGCGCCTTTTTATATTATTTTTAATTACCCCCATAATGGGTTGTTGCCGTCAGCGCTTTTAGTGATTTCCAGTTTATTGTATAAAATTTGAACATAACATGATAATTATTTTAAGATAAGATGTATAGTGTACAATAATCAATTCAACATGTATATACATATATAATAGCTAGTGTACAACTGTGTTTATGTTATGTAAGATAAATTAATTATTTGTTTGTATAAAATTGGTATTAAATATAATTATATTATTAATTAAATATTAAATATTGATAAATGTAACATGCGTAATGCAGAGCATTGTGCATATTACGATAGAAACTAAGTGTCATTCGCCAAATTAATTTAGCCATTTATTTTTAAGATTTTTAATGATTTAAGATTAATTGTTTAATTATCGTTCACTTACACTTTTATGGTGCCTCAGTCATGTCGTTATTTTTTGTAACGAGAAAGCTGATCAATTAGCCAAACTTACCTACTTCATTGCCCGTCCTCCGACCCTTAAGATTCCTCCCACTCCTTCATAAGACTATATCTCAAGCATGGCAAGAATATTAGTCTTCTCGTCTCTCCCTTATCACAGCTTGTACAAATTAATTTCACCAACTATTCCTAATCATTTTTGGTGTTATAACTTCCATTCTCCCGGTTCCATATAATATCTATTTCTCGGCTAAAACTTGGTACTAATCGTCTTCTTTTACATGCTTAAAATAATGCCCTTAATAATTTTCCCTTCTGCTTTAAATATGACAATGAAGATTTTGCAATTTTTCTCATTTAATTTTTGACTGTCGTGCTTTAGAAATGAATCGTTCCATTTTATTTAACTATTTTAATTGCTATAGTGTCTTCACAATTAATTGTTTTACTATTCTCAACTCAACCTCCCCAATGTAATATCACTTGTTATTTCTTTTATTCATGCAGCTGGTTTTTTATTTTAACTATATTGTAACACTAATAATGTATCTGATATTTTTTTATTATTAAATGTTATCATGAATATAGTTCTGACTATTAATAACAAGGTGTAATTTTTTTTTTAACTTAATTGTAAATTTTTATCGTTAATTGTTAAGTTATATTAATATTTTGTATTAAAAGCTATAAAAAAAAAGGTATCACAGTGGCACAATGTTATAATTACCTAGAGCAAAGTTTTATAATTGTAAGTTAAAAAAAAAAAAAAATTATTATAATTTTTTATAATTCGATTATCGAAAGTTCAGTTTTTTTTAGATACTCAACTTTCAAGATCCAAAAATCATCATTCAAGTTCGCTAGTGTTAACGTGGCATAGTTGAGACAAGTATAGACAATATCTGACAGTGATTAAAATCACTATCATAATGAACAAAATAAAAAAAAAAACTATAAGGAGAGCGATTAATAATTGTATGGCTGCCGATTACTAGAGGCGCGGGACGTGTGTACTGTCTACATACAAAAAGGAACTATCATAGACAAGTATACTAACGTGGCACGAACACGTTCAAACCAGTCATACACGAGAGCCATAAGATGCGACAGGACGGGTATCAACTATTGCCACACTCTACCCAACACTAATGAAGAAGTTTTAGAAAGGGTATCTGAGAGGAATTAATATGGAAGAGTATATAGAAAAGGCGAAATGAATCAATAAAAAATTATATAACAAAAATCTTTATTGTAATTAAATTATTGTTTGTATTTTAATTTCATATATAATAATTACTTTTAAACGAATATAATATCATAAAAAAATGTATTACTATAATTGGGAAAATCCCAAGTCCCTTATTCTCGAAAAATTGTTTTATAAGATTAACCTAATATTATATGTTATAATAAGCGTTAAAAAATATAATAATAATATTTTTAAAAAATGCATTCTTGGAATGAATTTTAGTAGGAGTATAAAGTATGAGCTGGATACCCTCCTACCACACATGTTGTGGGTTTACCCTGCCATAGGTTGACGGGAGGTGTAAACGGCTGGTGAGATATGATGAAGGGCATAGTTCCCCCGCCCACATGATGTGGGTTTCCCTGTCATAGGTTGACGGGCGGTTTAAACGGCCGGGGGGATATGATGAACGGCATAGTCCCCTCACCCACCCACATGATGTAGGTTTACCCTGTTCTAGGTGGACGGGCGGTGTAAACGACCGGGGAGGGATATGGTGAAAGGTCGATGTTTCTCGTTCCTAAATAGCGTTTCGTTATACAATGGTACATGGTACCTTGGTATATGCATAGTATATCTAGATAGATGGAACATCAAACAGTATACTTTGATATATTATAGAAAAATTTGAGGGATTTTGAAAATGGCATAATTTTTGAAATATGTGAAAATATTTGAATGCAGAAAAGTGAAAGGTGTAATCAAGCGACGACAGCGTCTATTAATCCAACGAAACCCAACTATAGCTATGTGGTATGTAGTCCTTTGGTACAATTAGTGTGAAAAAGTGTACGTTGTCAAAAAATTGTTTTAACTGTTGCATAGGAAAATCCATGACTGTATACGATTTAAGTGTTATTTATGCTCATTTACTTTTTCGGACAAATGCGGACTTGTACAGTTATCATGTAATGTATACCCTGTTATATTCATAGTGCACCGAGATAGATGGAACATCATATAGTATATCTTGATATATTACAGAAAATTAGAGGTATTTAAAAATTACATAATTTTAGAATTATATGAAAATATTTGATTGCAAGAAAGTGAAAGGTGTAATCAAGCGGCGACGGCGGCTATTAATCCCACGAAACCCAACTTTAGCTATGCGACGTGTATGCCTTTGATCATAGAGAGCCCCCTTACTTGACTAACGTATGTATTAAAACAGTAAATCGGCGGCTTACCCCTATATAGAAGGGGAGGTGATGATAAAACTCATCATAAGGTGAACATTATTATGATATTAAAGTAAATAAATAAATATGTACAATATTATACTATTTCATAAGAATTGAGTTATTTTTTAATTATAGAGAAAATATTTATACGTTTAAAATAATATTTTATCAAATTCTTTTTTGATTATTCAGTCACACTACCGCGTTTGTTAATAGACATTAATGTGTAATCGTTTTTGTATAAAACATGTATACACATAATCTATTACATATATTTGTATACAAATATTTAGAAATCGAGAGTTTAAAATTAATTATTATGATATTAAAGTGAAATTACTTAAGTGGTGAAGGAATGGGTTAGTTTACGGGGATATGTGATCTGTGATTTGCTGACCCCCCTATGAAAATATGTGATTTTTCCGCATAAATGAGCATGAAATCGTTGATAAAGTCACAGTGTCATCAAGAACCATCAGCTCTAAAAAGAAGACTCTACTCTATGAATAATATGGCTGCCGAACCTGTAAGAAAACAGCACTACATTTATATCGCACCAACACCGCCAGCCGAGATGATTGACTCTAGCAGTTACACTATTGCGTTCAGCGACAGAAAATTTTTGCAAGTGGGCCTGAATCCAAAGGATGACTTCAATGTTACGGTATGCATTATTACTCCTTCACGATATATTAGTATGTCAGCAGATTATTTAAATATTATTTACGGCATGAGGGATGAAATAACATTATTTCTACAATCACCTCCGGTAAAAGGAGAGAACATTATGGTATACCAAAATGTCGATTTTAATATAACCAAAGTATTGTACCATGATACCGTGCATTTAGTATTAGAATCCAGGATGGTCGATGGGTGTCGAGTGTTATTGAATAACGAAAACATTAATAGACTTATGGATTTACAGTGTACTATTAACAGTACAATATCAAGAAAAATAAAAACACGTTTACTATTAAGCCATCAAATAGACCGCATTATACAATACGCCGACGGCAAATGGTCAGATCCTAAAATTCAACAATCAAACAATGATGAAATAGTTAATTTTATAAGAAGTTTGAACGATAAAGAAATATGCGATACTTTTCCTAAAGGTGACAGTAATTACATAAGCGAGCTGAAGAATTTAGCGTACAATGTAATAGTTGATCGTTGGGTCAAGTCATGGTCCAAAGACATGCTTCAAATTAATGTGAGTTTAATGAACATAGATTGTCATAACCTTTATTGTTATTAAATTTATAATTATGCTTTAGGAAAAAGAAGAAGAAATGTGCGATGAAAATGATGGTCCAACATTTTTCAATACAACAGTGTATAGCCAAGAAAATAGTTATAGTCCATGGGCTTCACAATGGCCGAAACCCAATCACGTCAGAAAATTAACTTATATTAATAATTTATAAACAATAACTTTATATATTGTACTAGTTTCTTATAATAAACTTATAATCTAAAAATAAAAACAGTGTTGTTATTTGTATATAATATATTTATTTTATAATAATAATAATAATTACAAGGTTAATAATAAATGTTTACATAAACATGTAAAAAATGATAAAATATACGGAGGGTACCGTCAAAAGGTGTATATGTAAATACATTGTCTGAAATTACTATAGCATATGCAGTTGTATTAGCAGGGAACGCGGATGATGCTTCAATTTCAATACGTAGGTTAAAAGACGGGACTGTAATTTTGTCGGTCTGCTTTGACATATCAATCACTGCAATAGAATTATTATAATGATATTAAAAAATAATATTAAATATGGTTAAAATAAAAACATCTATACATTTGTCGGTTAAATAGAAGATATTTGTATGGTGGATTTGTACCGCACATATTTGTACATNATTGTCATTATCTTTATTGTTATTAAATGTATAATTTGTTTTAGGAAAAAGAAAAAGAAATGTGCGATGAAAATGATGGACCAACATTTTTCAATACAACAGTGTTTACCCGAGAAAATAGTTATAGTCCATGGTCTTCACAATGGCCGGAACCCAATCACATCAGAAAATTAACTTACATTAATAATTTATAAACATTAACTTTATATAGTGTACTAGTTTCTTATATTAAACTTATAATCTAAAATAAAAAACAAATTGTTGTTATTTGTATATAATATATTTATTTTATAATAATAATAATAATTACAAGGTTAGCATAAACATGTAAAAAATGTTAAAATATACGGATGGTACCGTTAAAATGTATCTAAGTAAATACATTGTTTGAAATTACTAGAGCATATGCAGTTGTATTAGCGGCGAACGTGGTTGATGCTTCCATTTCAATACGTAGGTCAAAAGACGGGACTGTAATTGTGTCGGTCTGCTTTGACATATCAATCACTGCAATAGAATTATTATAATGATATTAAAAAATAATATTAAATATGGTTAAAATAAAAACATCTATACATTTGTCGGTTAAATAGAAGATATTTGTATGGTGGATTTGTACCGCACATATTTGTACATTATTCATTATCACATGTAAAAATGTTAAATTTCATGATGTAAAATAGAATATGTATATGAAAAAACTATGTTTAAAGATCTATACCTGTTCTTGTATTTCATCCTGTCACATGCATAACACTAGAAGCAATGGCTAATTATGTTAGCCTTAATGCGTATTATTATTAATATTATATACAAAATATGATAGAAAAAAATAATTAACTTACAACAAAACAAACTTATTATTTACAAATTATAAATACCACTCTGAATATTCATTTATAGTCTCGCCATCCAAATTAAAATTAAGATAGGTAATTGGGGTGCGATAGTATGTCGGTACCAAATTCGCCATATGCTGAGTCGAATTAAGCTCAGTTAAACCTATGTTGAACATTCATAATCATAATCTTACTTTGAATCTATATTGGCTAATATGAATCGTCAAATGAAAACCAGTTTCAATGCTAATGCTAACATTCATCTTGTTTACGTGATAAAATTAAGTTGTACATGCAAACAAGATCTACCATACGACGATTTTTAAATCCACTCCTCAACTTTTGACTGCTACCTGTAAATAAGCCAAGTCTTTCTGTACAATAAAAATAATAAATATATGTAATAGATTATGTGTATACATGTTTTATACAATAATGATTACACATTAACAAAAAATGTCTATTAACAAACGCGGTAGTGTGACTGAATAATCAAAAAAGAATTTGATAAAATATTATTTCAAACGTATAAATATTTTTAATATGTTAAAAATAATCAGTCCAAATTTTTAATTTTAACCTATTTTTTTGGTTCTTTAAAGCTGATGAAAAATTTTTGATTTATGAAAGTTTATAGTAAAAAAATTGAATATATTACCATAACTTTTAACTCAATTACAAGTTTAAAATTGACATCTAGGCCAGTTAACAAAGGAAAAATTGCAGAAAAAATTCCCAACAAAATTTTGTTTTTTTAAAAGTTGAATTAAAATATGTATAATGACATACTAATAGTCCTCATTGATTGGAATTGAGCTTTTTTTTACAGCCTCGCAAAAGTTCAAAAATATGAACTTTTTTAATTTTCTCAAAAAATATTTAACTTACAAAAAAAAATTCGTACAAAAGTTATTTAAAAGACAATTCTAAACAAAAAAATTTTCTTATATTTTTTCATTTAAACAAATATTTTTCGAGTTAGATTACATTTAATATGAGTACTGAAATTTATTTTCCATTTTTTTCATTTTACGCTAACTTTTTATCATGTTGTACTTACATTAGACACAATGTTATAAATACATATGTGTGTATGTGTGAGTTTATTTATTTATTGTATCACTAAAGTGTAGTGTATATTAATATACAACCGATAGAGTAGGTAATAGATTTGACACTATATTGTTTAAAACCAACTTAACGCTAAATTGTACATTCCCAAACAACAATCATATTATGTCAATTGCCACCGGAATTTCTGGTAATCTTCTTCCTTTTCCTTGCCTTAAACCCAACTACTTGGGATCACCCATCGTTATCCTAAACTTACACTTGACACGATTTCCCCCCACATCTTCTACGCTCATATCAGCTGTCCTCATATAACATTCAATGACATCCTTCCATCTCTTTTTTGGTCTTCCTCTACCGCTTCCTCCTTCAACATTCATATCTATAACTATTCTTTGAGCTTCCGATTCCTCTCTCCTCATAATATTACTAAACCATCTAAGTCTATTTTCTCTCATCTTATCCACAATTGACACTACACCTATACTCACTCTTATATACTCGTTCCTTATTTTATCTTCTCTAGTCACTCCACTCATCCAACTAAGCACTCTCATCTCTGCAACAGTTATTCTCTGCTCTACTTTCTTATCAACCGCCAAACACTATGAACCATACATCATAGCTGGCCTCACAATTTCATACTGAATTTAAAAACTATATTTAGTATTTATTCATATATTATATTTTAAAATCAAAGAACTACTAATCAGGATATAATTAAAGAAATAAAAGTTGGTGTTGCTTTTGGAATATTTCACCAATTTCTCTAAATGAAACACTATCTACAGATTTGCATCGAAGCGTTTCTTATAATAGTGATTTTAATCACTGTCAGATATCATCTATACTTGTCCCATCTATGCCTCGTTTACACTATGCTACGACCCCACTGTGCTACCGTTTTTTTATTTTTTATTAAGTTACGAATAGTTAGTTATTAGTTATTTAGAAGATCCTCTATTCCATAGCCGTTTTAGTCTGCGATTAGGGTTTGAGGGTAGATTGTTTGTTGACATTTTATTAATTAGTGGGTTTAAAATCGATTGTTTTTAAAATCATATCTTGTTGGTTTGATTACATTTTGCTACATTTCTTAAATTTATTATTATTGTTAATTATTTAATGAAGAAAATAACGAAACCATAATGTTTTTTACATCAGTATTTTGGCATAAATCAATAATTCATCATAGATAATAAATACATGGATAGGAAAAGCCTACGTCAGTAACTTCTATTTTATTTCTTTTGACATTTTGGTACTTTTACAACGCCTCCGCTACTCTCCGCACACCATAGATATCATAGGTTTCCATTTTATACTAACCATATTTGATGTACATACAGTACATAAAAATATCATTAATACTTTAAGTTGTAAGTGTTATTTATATCATTAGACATTTCAGGGTCGCATTACTTATACTGCTCCCAGTATACAGAGTAATTTATTAAGAACACTAATCACAATTTTTTTTTTTTGAATATTTACAATTTATACTACAAATTGGTACAATAAGTAAATTTGATGATTTTTTTGAGAGTAGTGTTCTCCAATTTTTTGGTTAAATAATAATTTTTTTATAGAAATGTACTGGTTAAAATTTGATTTATTTTTACGAACCGTATTAAATATCAAGTTAATTGTAAGAAAAAAATATTTCTAAGGGTAGATTTTAGAGGTAATTTCCAAAAGTTTAATGGTAACCTATTATTATTTTTTTTTTACTATTAAATGGAGAATGCGAAAAACCTCCATGATTAAATTCTTCAATAATTAATAAAATAATTTTAATATATATATTTTTTAAATTATTTCCTCTTAGTATCAACACCGAAGGAACTTTTTCAAATTATGACGTTAATATTTTTTACTAGTTAAAATTTATGATATTCGTTTATTAACAAATTTAATTTATTTATTTTTATGTAATAATAAATACTTTTAAAATATAAAATTATTGGTTTAGGACAACTAGTTAATAGGACACTTATTTATCAAAAGTGATGTTAATGTAATTATTTTAAGTTTTAAAACATAATTTGTTAAGTAAACAATAATAATTTTAAGAAAATCATGCATTTAGTTCTGAATCTAATAAAGAATGTAATTTGTTTAAAACTGACATACAATTATGTATTGTTATATTAATCATATATTGCTAACATTAAAACATAACGTTAATAGAATAAACTTGTTTTTGCCATAAAATATTACAAATAAGTAAATAAAAGTTAAAATAGTCTGTATAGCTTAATAATTTTTTGTATAAAAAGCTAAAAATTTTCATTTTATCATTAATACATTAATAACTGTTTACCTATATAAAATTCATTAAATTTAAAACGGATTTTATTAAAATATGATTTATCAATTTAAAATAGTACTGTTTGCAAGTTGCATTATATCAACTTTATGCTTTCCGAATAATTGTGGACCATCAAATACTGAAGTCTCTTCAAGTGAAATACCGGTAACTAACTAGAATTTTATTTTCTAATTTATTACAAATTATAACACTTACAAAGAAAGATAAAAAATCCCAGAACAGTGGGGTCGCGCCATAGTGGAGAAGTTGCATAGTTGGGTCCAGTATAGATTTAATCTGATAGTGATTAAAATCAATATCATAAGAAACGCTTCGATGAAAATCTGCAGATAGCGTTTAATTTTAAAAATTTGATGGATAATTACAAAAGCAACATCAACTTCTATTTCCTTAATTATACCCAGATTAGTAACTCTTTGAATTATATATTATATAATTTTTAAAATTAATTGTTTTCAAATTATTATTGATTTTGATTTTTAATATGTTAAAAGTAATTATTTTGAACCTACTTTTTTTTTGTCCTTTAAAGTGAAAGTTTTAATTAAAAAAATGTGAATTTATTACCATAACTTTTAGCTCAACTTGCAAGTTTAAAATTGACATTATTAAATAGAAAAAAATGAAATTGTTATGATTAATATGCAATCAGGGAATTTTTAATTACTATTGACAAAAATCATAGTATTCATTTCTAATGAACTTTTTTTGTTTAAAAAGATTCTACAATAGAAATATTCAGAATTTAATTAATTTTAATGATTATATATCTAAAAAACCAATAAAAAAAAAAGTTATTCTATTTAGCGTATTATACAAATTGATTATAATTGTAAAAATCCATTGTTAATTCATGGGAAATTAACAATCATTTTTTTTTAAAATGATTTGTATAGCAACATGTTACCAACAAATTTGGAATATTATAGTCTAGTAGTAGCACACACAAATAGAGTAAAAAAATTAATAAATTACAAAGTAAAATTATTTATTTTTGTAGTTGAATACTTTTATCATATCAAATCTTATTCGATAATGAATACTTTAAGAATAATAGAAATTAATGTTTAAAAACATTAATTTCTTAATTCAAAATTTGTTTGTATGGAAAAAGCTGGTTAAGCTACTTGTTATTTGAATAAGGAATATTTTTTCGATTTTTAAGAGTAATAACTTAAACTAAATACGAATTGTAATCATTTGACGTATCGTTCAAATAGTAGGTCTAGTGAGGTTTGACAAAATAAATCGTAGCCACAAAAAGAACCACATAGTAAAATAATATTAACATGCATATAAATTTCTTCTCACGAGGGGAGACTATAGTGATAGGATCCTTTATATTTATTGTAGGTATTAAATCTAAATGAGATAAATATCAAATGAACATTTTATTCTAAAATTGAACATTTTATTCTAACTCCGAAAAAATGCAAAATATTAATTGCCACAGACGGATTTGAACTTCGTACCGTTAGAATGAAAGACACAAGTGTTACCGACTTTTTAAGCTGACTCAAATTTAAAAATTACTTTTTCAACTTTAAAAAAGCAAAAAAAATTAATAAGTTTAATTTCTTATGTCTTATGAACTTTATTCTATGTCAATTAAATTATAAAATATTCATGAAAGTCAGTGTATTGCCCTTATAAGATATTTTAAAATAAAATAAAATACAAAACCCAAGATTTTAATACAAAAATAGCATATTTGCACATAGAAGATAGGTTGTCGGGACAAATTTTTATTTTTAATTTTATAGTACATCATAACATAAGCTTTAATTTGATATATGTTTAATAGACGCAGTATTTCCGGAACATTTTCAAAAACTAAGTTGAAAAAGTTAGTTTTTGTAAAAAAGCTGCTATTTTAAATCCCCCTCTATGAGCAGAATAAGTGTTAGTCTTTCAAAAAAAATGATATCAAATGAAAGGGAAATATCTAAGGAGTTAGTATAAAAAATATTATGTGGATTTGTTGATTTTTAAAAAAGTAATGGAAGTTTTAAGAAAAAAAAGTAATAAAAAAACAAAATTAATCGATTTTTAAATTTGTAATTTTTTTGGAGGTTACCCCCATTTACGGGGAACAGGGGAATTTTTTTCAATTTTTAAGAGTAATTTCTTCAACTAGATACGATTTGTGATCTTTTGACGTATTGNTTTTTTCAATTTTTAAGGGTAATGTCTTCAACTAGATACGATTTGTGATCTTTTGACGTATTGTTGAAAGAAATCGGTCCAGTGAGAGCTGAGAAAAAGTGGCAACAGACATAAAAAAAAAATAACACATCATGGTAAAATTAATACCTTTTCAGGTTCGCATCGAAGCTAAAATTATGGAAAAATGAAAACAACTTTATTTATTAATTATACAGGACACCAGCTTTCTTGTATACAATTTTTATATGAATTCTTTATGAAATTTCAACGCTGATTCCGAATCTGATTTTAGATCTATCTATCATACTTAGTTTTTGAGTAAATTAATAATTAGCAATTAAGCAATAATAATACCATAAAATAATTATAAAAAAAAAAATTTATTTTTATTTAATTTTTTTGAAATGATTTAATGATGTTTAAAGAGAGTTTAAAATTTAGGATTATTTCATCAAGTTTAACCAATTTTTTGAATCTTAAAAGTTGAGTTTTAGTGGTACTTTTAAAAAAAAGTTGAACTTTTAAGAATATCTTAAGTTAAAATTATAAAACATAAACTACAAAAAAAATAATGGTTTAAAGATTTTAAAAGTATTATATCTGTGCATTTCGAGTATAAAGTGTATATAAAGTGTCAATACAGAAAATACAGGAATACCTCGAAAATTCTTAATAAATACTAGTTTATTTATATATTACAATTGAGGATCTAGGTGTTATCTATTAGCCAATCTATTATCAATAATCACAATAGTTATATACATAATAAAAGTATGCTTATGTTAGGCTTTATTAAAAGACAATGTTGGAATTTCAAAGTTATCAATTGCTTAAAAGTTGTATATTACTCTCTTATGAGATCTAATTAGGAATATGGAATCCTTCGACTAGTTTTGCCTCATTAATTGTCTAAATGTGATTCAATCTATTATTTTAAGTGGTCTATGTCAAATATATAGAATTTATTTGTCTTTCCATGATCTTCAATGTGTTTTACAGCTTTAATCACTATGTAATGGTCACGAATATAATTATTTATTCTTTGTTTAGAAACTTTTGTATAATAAAGTAGATTGTTCGGAACTTTCTAAATTAGTTGTATGTTCCTTTATTTTTCTCTAAATCTCCAGTTATATTTCATGAATCGTTTCAAATTTATCATCTTATGGTTTAAATGGACTATATGTTACGAGCTTGTATTAAGGTTAATTTCAATTTTAATTATAATAACTAATCTAAATTTCTATTTATTAATACACTCTATTTATCATTATGGGCGATAATGAAGTACTATGATTATTAAAAATATATCTTATTAATGTTCAGTAGTATATTTTCTTTAATATTTTAGAAATTGTGTAAAAAATAGAATTTTCATGTGTTCATTATATGGTATCAAACATACATAAATATTCAAATGTTTATAAAATTTAAAATTTAACTACAAAATATAAAAATATGACGTTGGCTAACAAATTTTTGTCCAAAATCTACTCTAAAAATACACTAATATACTAAACAGTATTAATATTTTTATACATTTTTAAAGTAAAAAAAGAAATTTTTTTCAGTAAATTAAAAATATATTATTTCTTATGATATTTTCATACTTCTAAAGTATTTATAGTATTTATTTTAGCTTCGATGCGAAGCTGAGAAGGTATTGCATTTACTATGATGTGTTTATTTTTTAGCTTCGATGCGAAGCTGAAAAGGTATTAATTTTACCATGATGTGTGTTTTTTTTTTTTTTATGTCTGTTGCCACTTTTTCTCAGCTCTCACTGGACCGATTTCTTTCAACAATACGTCAAAAGATCACAAATCGTATCTAGTTGAAGACATTACCCTTAAAAATTGAAAAAATTCCCCNGTATCTAGTCGAAGACATTACCCTTCAAAATTGAAAAAATTTCCCTCGTTCCCCGTAAATGGGGGAAACCTCCAAAAAAATTACAAATTTAAAAATCGCTAATTTTCGAAATTTTTTCAATTTTTTTTCCTAAAATGTGCCGTAACTTTTTCAAAAATGAACATATCAATATAATTTTTTTTTAAATAGTTTTTCGATGTCTTTACCTATTATTTTATATATTTTTTTTGTAAATTTAACACTTTATCTGCCCACAGGGGGGGATTTAAAAAGACAACTTTTTCACAAAAAATTAACTTTTTCAACTTAACTTTTGAAAGTGTTCCGGAAGGTCTGACCCTTTTATATATATCTTAAATTATAGCTTATGTAATATACTATAATTTGAAAAAAAAAAAATTGACCTCTGGACTTGTCTTCATGGTGAAAATGGCTATCGAATGCTATTTTTGTGTGAAAATTCTCGATTTTATAATTTACATTTTTTACTTTAAAGTGCTATAACTTTTTAAAAAATGTATGGATCAATACAATTTTTTCATGAGAAGTAGTATTTATATACATCTTTCATTGGATATACTTTTTTTTTAAATCAGACTATTTCCCTATATATGGGGGGGCTTCAAATATAAAAAATGCATATAAAAAGTAGAACTTTTTCAACTTAACTTTTGAAAATGTTCCAGAAAGTCTGACACTTTTATATATATCTTAAATTAAAGCTAATGTAATATACTTTAATTTGAAAAAAAAAAATTTTGACCTCTGGACTTGTCTTCATGGTGAAAATGGCTACCGAATGCTATTTTTGTGTGAAAATTCTCGATTTTATATTTTACATTTTTAACTTTATAATGTTATAACTTATTGAAAAGTCTATGGATCAATACAATTTTTTATGAGAAATAATATTTATATCCCTCTTTCATTTGACATACTTTATTTTAATGAAGATATAAATAAGGAAATAGGAGATCATGTAGCTTTTGGAATAATACACCAATTTTTTTTAATTAAACACTATCTAAAAATTTGCATCGAAGCGTTTTTTTTTTATGGTGATTTTAATCACTGTCAGATATCATTATACTTGATCCAACTATGACACGTCACCACTGTGCCGCGACCCCCCTGTGCTGGGTTTTTTTTATACTTTTTTAAAGTAAAAATGAAATTTGTTTTTCAGTAAATTAAAAATATATTATTTCTAATCATATTTTCATACTTCTAAAGTATAATACAAAACTCAAGTTATTCTAAATAAACTACCTTTATAAACAGATGCAAGAAGCGAAATATTTGACTCATTTACTTCAACAAATTCAAATAAAACTAATGGATTATATTTTTAGGATAATGATCATAGAACTGTCTTCAAAATTATTAAAACCCAAGTGAAAGATGAATTATCATTAGCAGCTCATTTTGATAATGGTTTGATTGTATATCAAAAATTATATTTGATTTGTCTAATAAAATATGGAATAAATATCAGAGAGGGCATACCTGATCATATATATGTTACGATGAGTAAATATAATTTAATTTTCGTTTATTATTGATTTGGTAATGAATTAAGACACTTAAAGTGAGTACAACTATAATTTATTAAAGGCGACTTCAATTTATGAAAAAACCTATGGTTCCATATGTTACATAAAATTTGCAACTTTTTTATAAATAAAATAACAAAGAGGAAGTAATTATTAATATTAATTATGTTTTTATTAATTACTCATGCCATTTCATACTTATTAAAAATTATAATTAATATATTAATAACACAAAAAGTAAAAGAATATTTTCTCATATACATTTACATTATTATTTCTTACGAACATAGTATTCATTTAGTGGACAACGACGACTAACTGGTTTTTCTCATATAATTAAATCAACATACACAACACGACAAAACGACAACAAACTTAAATATATATATATATATATATATATATACACAATAATAAGCTGATTATTCCCTACTGACTATTGAATAATACATAGATTTTATAGTCTTTTTTATACTGTTGTTTACAAAATAGGTCTCTAGGTGGTTAATAGTTTTGTACTTTAATAAACACGCTACTCAATTAGTATCTTTAAATGTGTAGTTAACGAACAAACTTACCTCGTTGCCTCGGCATATAGACACAAAAAATATTTTTAACGTTTTATTTGTAGACTAAATAAAGTCATTAATTAAAACAAAATCATTTTGTCTTATACATGCTTTTTCAAATCATATATATTTTTGAAGTTATTTGTGAAGTTTCATCACTATCTAAATTATTGATACGAGAGTAGTGATATAACGAAAGAAGATTCTCGGTAAGGGTATAAATATTCTTTTGCAGATAATTACGGGAGAATATATTAAAAAAAAAAAAAAAAAAAATGAATAAAATCTTTACTTAATAATATAACATTAAATCAAACTCAACAATAATTTATTAAAAAATTACGATTGAAAAATAATCATCTTTTTTGGCTGATAGTAGCATATTAACAAAAACATAAAAAATTATCTAGAAAATTTTTGTCAATAATTAGTCAAATTAGTTAACATTCAATAATGGTGCCATAATTTTGTGTGAGACAACCAATAGAAAAATATAGGGAAAAGAAGAAAATGTTGTGGATGGAATTTATAGATTTGGAGAAAACGTACAATAGAATACCGAGAGAGATATAAAAGTAGGAATTAATGAGAAAAGAGTCCCGAAAAGGTACATAGTACCTTTTACATACATAGAAATATAATAGAGGATATTTATGATACCCCGGTATGATTTTACCAGGGTATAAAGTGTGGAAGGAGTAATAGAAGGTTTTAGGATAAGAGTAAGAGTGCACTAATGTTTTGCTTTAAAACCCTACTATAGTGATGGATGAAGTTACTAGAGAAATACAAGGAGAGATGCCGTGATGCATGTTTTTCGCTGGCAATATAGTGCAAATAGAAGAAAATTGGGAGATAATTAATCAAAGGCTAGAGCGTGAAGATCAGCTTTTAAAGAGAAGGGTTTAAGAATAAGTAGAATGAAGATAGAGTAAATAAAGTACGAGTTTGACAAAGGAGAACACGAAATAGGTGAAATAACAAGATCAGTTGTAACAAGCGAGGACGTGATAGGAGTGGTAAAAAGTTTCAAGTATTTAAGATAAGATGTGCAAATAAACGGTAGTATTGACGAGGATGTATGACATAGGATTAAGTGCGGTGGTTGAAGTGGAGAGAAGCGTCTGGTGTGTTATGCGATAAAATAATTCCAATGAGGTTGAAAGGTAAGTTCTATAAGACTGTAGTAAGATCAGTTATGATATAAATTTATAAATATGATATAAATTTGGTTGCTTCTAAATATAACTCTAAAGCGTTTGTAAAGTCTTAAACAAAAAATTTAATGATTGGTTATCTTTTATTACAAGTGGATTGTATCTCAATCTCCGTTTGATTTAATTACCGAGGTTAAAGAGATAAATTTGAAAGTGACCATATTTATACTTCTTACAATACCAATTTATAATAATGTAGCATATAATAAATACAAGTTACAAAAGAATATTCTCGTTTTTGAGAATTCTCGAAAACATCCACAAGAAATTCCATAGAAAAAGATTATTACAGTAATTTTACATCACTATACGATAGTTAAAAATATAATAAGTGTAAAATTTGACCATAGTGTTCCCTACATATTTTATTGACCTTATGCAATTTAATGCAAGTAAGAAATTTCGACGATCATTAAGTTAATAGAATTTTTTTAAATATTTTTGCATATTTTGTTGATTGAAGAATATTCAGACTAATTTTCATATTTCTATCATTTTCTCAAATTTTCTACAAAGACATTAGTTTAATTACTATTTCTAATTAATTTTAATTTAATAAAAAAGAATTTGAAAAAGTTTGACCAAATTTTTAAGCGAAATCAATAAAAAATTTGTCAAATTTTAAATCAAAAATTTAATTATAAGTCGTAAAATATGAAAATATGGGAAAGTAAACTAAGAACTATGTATAATAAAATATAATATTTTAAAACTTTTTTATAATATACTATAAATATATTTTGATATATTTATAATATCATATTATAAATATATATTTGCATCATATTTTAAACTTTTTAATAACCTAAAGGTCATAGAGTCTATACAGGTCGTATGGCGTGAAAAATTTTCTAAATAATTACCTTAATTAAAAATTCTTGGAATACTAAAGAAACAGACTATTTTGGCTTACGATTTTATATAAACCAAATAATTTTTATCATTACGAAAATTTAAAATTATTTTATTCATTCTTAAAGAAACTGACTTATTTTCATCAAATTTCTTCATAAACTACAAAATGAGATCAAAGATGATCAAACTTATATCTTAAAGCACGACAAAATTAAATTTTGAACTATTATTTGATTTTTTATTGAATCATTATCGAAATAATAGTTATGATGTTGTGTGATGCAAAATACTCGGACGACCACTCGCCCAGTTAAATCGCGTCTCACTCGGTTCCTTTTAAATTAAATAAAAATAAATTTTTGTGTACTGTAATTTATATTCCCCTATTTATATTATTCAATATAATAACAACAATAATTTATACCTTGAATCTGTGGTTAGTTATTTACACTAAAACAAATAATAAAATATAAAAACATAAACTATTCTTTACAATTAATTTTTAGACAATAACATAAAGTATAATTTGACCTTATGCTTTCTCGTACCAAGATGATAAGTGTTTCAATGTGTCAATTATTACAGCCGAGCCCCACGCATTATACTGTAAAATATATACTTCTTTCGCTGAAGAACGGAATACTAATACGTACCGTTTTGTGCATTAAATCGTATAAACCAACGTACATAAAGTGAATTTAACACATAAAACACCAAAATAAGCAAGTCGAATAGTGATCCGTTATCAACTGCGACACAACTTACCAGACGTTAAAACAACACAATAGGCCATAAAAATAAAATGCATAATAATGCGTAGTAAAAATGTAGCTACACAAATCTGAAGCATACAACAACACGAGTAGGAGAGCCATCACATACACTACCCCAACATTAAATCTGGTTAGGACAGGTCGCGCTCATTGCGTTGACAACTGAATTCTATTTGATACGAGCGAACAGATGTAGTGTAACTGTAAATAATATTAATTTTTAAGAATAATACCTCACCAACTGTAAAAAATTAAAAATTAAGAAAATCATTTAATTTTAGTAATGCATGTTTAATTTATTTACGATTAGAAAATGATACAATCACAATGGACGAAGCAATGGCAACATTTCATGAATATATTAATATAAAAATTAATAATTTAGCTGATGATTTGCGAAAAAAAGCAAATAATGGATATATTAATGCTTTGCATGCACGTGATATATTTGTGAATCATGGAATAGATAAAGAAATACGACGCCAAACTCTATACAAAATGAAATTAATATACGGTTGCTTATTAAAATGCGAAGGTAATTTTTTTAATTGTGAATAATATTAATGTTTTAGACTAACAACTTTACAACTAAAATAAAAGGTAGATTTTTAAATATATATGTATTCCAAGAATCATGTCTAAGTCTCATTTTGCATTTGATTTACTCAAAACAATATATAGAGTACTCAAATATATTATTATAAAAATGAATGAATTCTTAATATACATTTTATACATTTCTTCTAGAAGAGTTCTAAAAAATTACATTGTTTATACAGTGTGATCTAATCATAGTACCCCCCCTTTTTTATTAAATAATGTTTTTTTTTATAAGAATGCATATATTAAAATCTTTTCAATTTTTTAAACCAATATTAATGTAAAGTCTATTTAAAAAAAAATTATTCCTAAGGGTAGATTATAGGAGTAACTTTCAAAAGTTAACTCCTAAAAGTCAACAGGAACCTATTAATATTCTTTTACTATTAAATGGAGTATAGTCTGAATAAAATTTTGACTAGTCAATAACCAGTTTAGTTATTTTTTGAGTTATTATAGTTTTTATTTAAAAAGAATGCGTAACGTAGAAGAATTTTTATTTGTTCATTATGGTCAAAAAAGAGCAACGCTAAACACTACCGCGCTCCTCGCAAAATCTAAATCTTGAAACTCTAATACCTCAAAACCATCCCTTTCCAAAAAAAAAAAAAAATACTTTTTTAATTATTTTCGTTATACTTTTTTACTCTCCAAAAGGGTGGGCATTGTATTGTTATGAAGGCTACATTTTATTTTTAAAGCTACCTGAAGTATATTTTTAATCCTAATAAATAGTAGAAACGTTCTCAAAATTTTTTCTAGGTGTGATATGTATAAGAATTTTTTTTTCTTCCAAAATACATCTTAATAAATATCATATTTAAGACGAAAATATATAATGATAAAATATATATTACAAAATAAATTTTATTTTGATAATTAGGGTTCTATCAATCATTAATCTTAATATAGGGACCTCAGTTCTAAAATAGAATTTATAAAAAATGATGGTTCCAGTTAATGATTATCGTGTTGAAAATTAACATTATTTCACTTTTATAAAAACGTTTTGTATCTTAAATGTTTTTATACAATCCTAAAGAAATATTTATAATAGTAATTAACAAAAATTATTTTTTTTCAGATGTCATAAATTGCTTAAAATGAAATGTATTACATTATTTATATGTAAATATCTATAAATATACTTCTATTTGAATATTTCTTGTGTTAATTATTTTAGCTTTGATGCGAAGCTGAGAAGGAATTAATTTTACTAGGAGTTGTTTTTTTTTTTGTCTGTTGGCACTTTTTCTCAGTTCTTACATGACCGATTTCTTTCAGNTGCCACTTTTTCTCAGCTCTTACATGACCGATTTCTTTCAGCAATACGCCAAATGATCACATATCTTTTCTAGTTGAAGTCATTACCCTTAAAAATAGAAAGAATTTCCTCATTTCCTGTAAATTCCCAAATAAATTACAATTTTTAAAATCGGTAAATTTTGTTATTTTTTCATTTTTTTTTTCTTAAAACTACCATAACTTTTTGAAATATTATCAAATCAAAATAATATGACTCTAAACATGCCTTAAGGATTACAAATATAGGTTTTTCATGACATCGATAATCGCAAGTTAACAGCATTTATTATCAATGGTAAATAGCACATTGTTGTGAGTTTATAAATACTGGCAATAGAGAAAGTATATCTATTGATAGTCATAAATGACAATAAACATTCCGCAACTGTGACAGCGACGTCATACAAAACCAATTAGCTACCTGTATTTGCAATCCATNCTACCTGTATTTGTAATCCTTTGTATATTATACATGAATATTACCTCAAAAATTTGAAACTTTAAATGTCTATATCTAATAAACTAATAAAATTATATTAAAAATTCAAATGCCATTTACTATTAAATTAAAATAAAAACATTTTATTAAATTCAAAATGTGTATGTACCATTTAAAAAAACAAATTTGACACCCTTAAGGCATAAGGGATGAACTTAATAAGTATTAAAAAGTTAATAATTCAAGAGCAATGTGAAACTAAATAAAACAAAAAAGAATGTGTTAAATTATGTTTATTCTGTAAGTAATTGAGTGGGTTATGATAAAAAATTCACTCTATATAGTGTGCCTCAATTNATTGAGTGGGTTATGATAAAAAAATCACTCTATAGTGTGCCTCGATTGATGTGCTATTCTCAATATATTTTTAGTTTAGAAGCGAAGCTGAGAAGGTATAAATTTTACCATAAAGTGCGTTCTTTTTATGTCTGTACATGAAAATTCTCAGCTCTCACAGGCCTGATTTTAATGAGCAATACGCCATAAGAATAGGATTATAATATAGTTAAAGTTATCAGTGTTGAAAATTAGTAAAACCCCCTTATTTTTAAAAATTAAAAAAATAGCTTTAAATTACAATACCGTAAAAAATGGTATTTTCAAAATTATTTTTCTGCATTTTAAAACTGGTGTAATTTTTTTTTAAACTCTTATTCAAATGAAATTGTAATAGAGTATACTAATAATAAAGTGTGCTTTTTTTGAAAATCCATTATAAAACATAAATACTTTAGAAAAGGAAGACTACTCGATATATGAAAATATTCTAGAAGGTCTGACATTTGACTTTAAAGTCAACAATAGTGATATTTCTGTAAAATTTCGTCACTTTTTCATTTTGCTATAAGTCTTTCAAAAATACACTGATTCTAATGAAATTTTATAATTATTCACTATTTATTGACTTGCATTGGAGGCTTATTGTGACAGTTGTGTTAACCACTGTCAGATATCATTTATACTTGTTCCCACTGTGCCGTGGCTCTATTGTGCTGAGTGTTTTAATCGTGAAATAATATTAATAAATAAAATGCATATAAATTCTTGCATGTTATATTAGATTGATATCTATGTTTGATTGACTATATTTGACATTACTATCATAAATACTTACATGAAGGATTTTTTTTTCAATTTTTAATGCTGATATGTTCATATAGATTAAATTCGGGTTGTTACTAGCATAGCGATCATCAAAATCGGTTCATTAAAAGCGTAGTAATACTATTATACAAAAAAGTCACACAAAGTCATACAAAAAAAAATACATTAAAATTAATTTTCAATATAATAAGTATTTGGTGTTTTTGAAATTCATGAAGTAATAATCTTATAAATGATTTCTATTTATTAGGAACAATTTGCGAAAAAAAAAATTTTACAATTCTAAATATGAGTATTAAAATTTTTTTGGTATCAACTTTTGATTTTTTGCGGCTGAGTAATTTATTTTATTTTATAAACAAAATATAAACTAATTTTTATATTTGATATCATGATTCAAAAAAGTATTTCTAACGGCATTCTAAATAATATTCTACCAAAGTATGAAATTCAATAATAATTGCATCACTCGACTAACGATAATTTATGTCCATTTACATTTTTTTATGTTTGAAAAGCTGTGAAAAGTAGTTTCAATAAGATATTTTCAAATTCATAACATGCACCTTAAAACTAAATTATTATAACAATTTTGATAACGCCTATGAAAAAAATAATATTTTTCTGTTTTTTAACGAAAATAATTTTATATTTGATTATATTACTGTAAAAAGTGGGATGGTATGGTCATGCAGCAGTACCTTATGTGTACTGTTTCGAAAAAAAATATTGTAGTGAAACCAACTTAAAAACATACAAAATCTTATTTTTTTAACAAATTTTTATCGATAATATATTTTCTTATAATCAATAAATATAAACATGAAATGGGTTTCTGTGAAAATCCATTTTTAACTTTTTCCAGTAAGGTAGACTGTAGTTAGCTGACACACTTTTTTGCTCTCGTATCAATAATATTTCAGTTAGTGTTATGAAACTTCACAAAAAGCTTCAAAAACGCACAAGCTTTAAAATAAAAAAATACATTTTTCTAATTAGTTTATTTTATTTAATCTAAAGATGAAAACGATAAAAATACATTTTGGGTCAACTTGCCAAGATTGAAACAGTTAACACAATATTTAATACAGAAAGTGTTACAGTTTAGTTTCACCTCACATTAATGATTGACAAGGTCCCTCGTCGCTTCACGATAAACAAAGCCCCGCGACCTGCACTACCTTTGTCAGTCATCACCCTACAACATGTACATGGTGTTTTAACTGACCAACACCGCGTGCAATAGTCCACGAAACAAAGTCCAATAAGTGGGGCGCGAATGACGACGACCTGTTCTAAAGAAATACATTTTTAATTGACTTTATAATTAAAGACCTAAATGATGACATAACCTAACTACTAACATTATTTTACTTTAAATAAGTCAGAAACTACTTTTAGAGCCTCCAAGAGGTTTGAACCTTTTTTTATAAATATTTCTAAATGTATGTATTTTATTATGATACATTATATGTTACCCCCCGACTACCCTAATTAAATTATTGATGAAATTTTAGATAAAATAGTTTTAGATTAAAAATTATCAAAAATTGTTGTTTTGCTGAGGTTTGTTTAAAAAAAGGATTTAATACGTATTCTATTTAAATGAAACTTATATTAATGGATTACTTGAAAAGTAGACTAGTTTTAATTGTGGTTTTGAAAATGACGATTTTAAAAAATGTATGGTAAACAAAATTGAGAAATTTTGTTGTACCATTTAAAAAAAAATAGAAAGAGTCGAACTATTGTATAACAAAATTTATAAAGAAAACTGAAAATTGGCTACAATTAAATTTTAATATTCCATTGGTAAAAATTGGTATCGAAGCCACCAAGTGTACGTAAAATTTTAATTCATGGCTCATTGGTAATTAAAGAAACTTAGTTCCTATTGGTCAGTTGTCTAAAGAAGCGCAAGAGTAAAAAAACAAAGATTTTAAGCGATTAAGAGAACACTATTTAAGAAAACCCTGACGTGTAAATACTAACTCAGATTTATTCAAGTTTTTATTAATCACATCAGATTCGATTATTGCAGCAATATTATCACAAAGTAAAATATCACCAAATAAACTGCCTCCAAAAGCTATCGAATTATTAAATAATGATAACTTTGAAGCTAACATAATAATTAACGACGAAGAAGAAAGTAGTAGCAACGATTCATATTGATTTTTTTTAATAATAATAAATTCTTGGAGTAATAAAAAAATGTACAGTGGAAAAATTAATTTTATAATGTAATGATTTTAAAAGATATGTTTTAAAATAAATTTTTATATAAATTTTTTCAAATATTTTAATTGAAAAAATATATACTAATGTATAATTTGAATTCAGTGACCTTATAAACATATATTTTGATATATTACATTAAAAATCAACTAAAGTTGATTAAAGGCTCCCTTAAACCCCTCTAAAAAGAGGGAGTGTAGAAAAAATAATGTCAAATTTGAATTTAACAACGCTAAAAACATAATAATTGACCTCTTTACCAACTCAAATTAAAATTTCTGGCTTATATTAATTTTATCAGCTAAAATTGCATTTTGGCCTACTGTGTTACGTTTTTCTAATTATGCGTTTTGCTACAATAAACCGATAGCTCTTAAAACGAAAATTCCTTCAAACATCGAAAATTTCTATCAAAAATGGAATATGCATCAAAAAAGTTTTATGTATTTGATCTCATAAAAATCCTTGAAATATGCATTAAATTAAGTTGTTAAAATTAATAATTATTAAATAATTGATTACACAGAAAAAATTAGGGCTATTTATTAAGATTTAGAACTTCTATTTTTAAATAGACATTAAATATTTTTAATTTACAACCTCTTATATTTTATTCTAACTTCTTTGTGATAGTTTTATATTTATTGATACTTAATAGAAAATACATTTTAAATAAGGATATTACTTTTATTTTATAAGTAGTTGAGTATTTTTGGATAGACAGATCAACTGTTATATAATGACTATGTAATAACATTATTTAGTAATATTTTCTTATTTTTCGTGTTAATTTATATGAAATAGAAAATACCATTGAATAATGTTTTTATATTAAGGTGATTTGTTTATCCCAACCCATTCAATTACATAAAATATAAAAGTAACATCGAACATTATTTTTTTAGCTTAAACAATTTCAAGTACTGTTTTGGTTCATCCCTTAAGGGATCAACCAAACTTAACGCCTTTATAGGATATAATTATATCCTATTAAGACGTCATCTATATTTTTTTA